CGGTCGACTCGATCACCAGCCCAATCAGCATCGGACCAAATTTTGACCTCAAGTTGTTCAATTGAAACAGCCTCACTTGACTTCCAGTAGCGCAAACCACGATCCGATGTGCCCTTAAGGTAGCGAAAAATCCGTTTGATCAGCTCCCAATGGCACTTACGAGGCTTCTCGCGATGTCTTGACGCAAAGTTGGTAGCAAACGCTATGTCCGGGCGTGTAGAATTAGCAATCCAAAGTAGCGTACCGAGAGCTTCACGTACACGATGTAAATCCACTAGTTCCTCACTGTCAGCACCATTATAATCTGTGTTTGGATCCATTGGAGTCGTTACAGTTCTGACATGTTCCAGATTGAACGCGCGGAGGGCGTCACAAATCATGCCCTGCTGCGACAAAAAATAACTTTGCTGGATTTCGTGTACTGTGATACCAAGAAATTTCTTCACTGGTCCGAGCATCTTGATGCTGAACCGTTCTTCCAGCTTCAGTGTGACATCGCGCAGCTCCTCCTCGTCATGATACGCGATCAGCACATCATCCACGTAAAGCCCAAGGAACATCACCCGCTCTTTCTTGTCGCGCTTGTAATAGATGCACGGGTCGAGTCGTGACTTACTAAATCCAAGTGCGATGATGTAATCGTTCATCGTCTCATTCCAGCAGCGACCCGACTGTTTTAGCCCATACAATGGCTTAAGCAGCTTGAGTACCTTGCCCTCCTCGACGTCCATCTCTCTTGGCGCCTTCATGTAGATGAGTTCGCGCAACAAGCCCTTCACGTAGGCGTTTGGAACGTTGCCATGAGTCAGTCGTAGTCCAAGCAAGCTTGATAGTGCAAAAAATAAACGCACACTGCTCATCTTGATCACAGGTGCGAATGTCTCCGAGAAATCAACGCCGTACTTCTGGCTAAACCCTCCAGCTACAAGTCTTGCTTTAAAGCGTTCAACGTCACCATTAGCATCAAACTTGATCTTCAAAACCCACTTGCTGTCGACGATGTTTGTACCTTTGTTTGGTTCGTCGACAACCTTCCAAGTGCCATTTTCGACAAGTGCATCGAGCTCTGCCTTCATCGCATCGATCCAGTTCTGCCTTTCAGGAAGAGTCATGGCCTCTTTAACGGATCTTGGCTCTTTCACTCGTACAACCAACATTGCGGCACCATCAGCATATCTAGCAGGCATGGTGACATGACGACGCTCACGTCGTTCTGCTAGCGATTGATTTTTGCCAGTGATTAAATCAACCCCAGATTCCTCGCAATTAGAAATGCTCGAGCCATCTTCACTTTGACTTGGTAGGCTCTCTTCGTCAGAGATATTGTAGGCGGGTGCATCATTTCCAGCATTCGGATCTTTGTCGATACCCTTCTTGGCCGAGTCTATTGACTGGACGTGATGCGATACCAAGATCTTTTTAGTACGCTTGATGTACACGCGATGACCCTTCACCTTATCATCATATCCGATGAATATTCCGTGCTCACACTTCTTTCGGGTACCCATGGACTTGCTCTTGACATGAACCGTGACCCTTTGTCCCCACTTTAGTATGCGACTAAGGTTGGGCTTGTGTCCAGTGAGGGATTCAATAGGCGACATGTTTCCACCATTCGCACGTGTCGGGAGTCGGTTTCTTAGCCATGACTGATGACGTAGTGCTTCCGACCATAGGAACCGAGGAGCCTTGGCAGCATCAAACATCATAGCCCGCATACCGTCAAACAAAGTCCTGTGGCGCCTCTCCACCTTTCCATTTGAAGTCGATTCGTCTGGTTCCGTTAGTTGCTGTCGGATACCGCGTTGTGCACACCACGACCTTATCTTGTTCGTGTCAAATTCATTGTCGCTTCGGATGACCTTCACTCGCACGTCATATTGTCGTTCGAATCTTGTAATGAATTCAGTCAGCAACGGAAACCAGTCGGACTTACCACGCATTGGAAAGACTTCTCCATAGCTAGATGCATAGTCAACGACATGCAAAGAGTGAGTGCAGCCTCTGTAATCGTGAGGCTTGACGTTTGTCTTAATGTCAACTCCAATTACGGCGCCAATCTCGTCCGTTGGTGCTGATTCGGATGTGTCTGTTTGGGCTTTAGCACCTCTTGTTTGTTTCCCCTCGCGACATGCAGCACAGTCACTTTTCTTCTTGTCAGTGATGTGTAAACCATCAGCCAATTCATGATTCTCGATCATCGCCACATCCTCAACGTTGACATGGCCGAGTCGAGCATTCCATTCCATGATGCTGTCATCAGGTTTCGCTGCGACACTCGCAATAGCTGATTCGACTGCGTGCCCATTGAGGTAGCAAAGCCCATTGTCCCACGTCGCACAGCCAGCAATAACTTTGACTCCCGTGTCGTCAAGCTTCCACAGTGACGCTCCTTGGTCGGTAAATGAGGTATGAATACCTTTCTTCGCAAGTTGACCAATCGATAGCAGGTTTTTGCGCAGCCCTGGAATTACGTGCACGTCTTGCAACAGAATCTTGCTTTGATTTCCGTTGACATTGATCTCCATCACGATGTTGCCACACGTGGAAGACCTGATGGTGCGACCATCTGCGATATTCACGGACAGATTGCATGTGTACTCGTTTTGCAACGCAAATCCAGTACCGCATATGTGGTGACTAGCGCCTGAGTCCAGCAACCATTCACGTTCATCCCTGCTATATCTGAATGCCGCCCAGCATGATGCGTACTGACAGTCATTATCTTCTGTCTTATGGATCTCGCGAGTTGTCTCCACAACATTAGCTGAGCCTGTTGACCTTTTCTTCTTTTCCAGAAACTCCTTCTTGAGTGGGCATGTTGAAGCAATATGACCCTCATCCTCACAGAAGAAACAGGCTCGCTTAGGATACTTCTTGGCTCCTCCTGCACTGTACGCATCACCAGATTCATGTCTTGACTTCCGCTGTTTCTTCTCAAACTCCGGCTTGTCTCTTTCAGCACGCTCGTACAAATTCGTCGCCCCTTTTGGCTTACAGACGAAATTCTTTCCGTTTCCTGTGATGGAGGTCAGATATCGTACAGCTTTCTCGAGCTCGATCCCGTACTCCAAGCTGTCTTGATCAATCTTCGCCAGCAAGCTTCTCTCCTCTGATGGACAAGAGTATGAGCAGAAGTATTCAAGGATAATCTTGCTTGGATTTCCATCCATACGGCTCGCCACAGCTCTCATGTACTCAATATGAGATGTCCACGTTGTGTTGGTTCTCTTGGGCGCTTCAAGTAGCTTTCCCAGTTGAGACTGACTCAGCTTACAGCAAAATCGGTTTTTCATGGACCTGCAGACACTGTCGTAGTTGGCGGTAAGTCCTCGATCCGCGAGATACTTGAAATGGCCAAAGGCAGCACCGCGAAAGCACATCGCCATAGCGCTCAGTCGATGCTCTTCATTCCAGACTACGAGATCGAAGGTCTCGAGCGCATGTATTTGCACATCAAATTGGTACTTGAACGAGTCCCAATCTGCTCCAAGTCCTGAGTGTCGTTCTTCTCCGGTGAACTCAATGACCTTGAAGTCCTTCAACTTGGGTGTACCAACTGGACGGTATGCTGTAGACGATGTCGCCGGTGAGGCGGTGTGCATTGTCACATTAGAGTCGGTTTGCCTCGATGCTTGGGCTTGTGCTCTCAACTCGCGAACCTCTTGTTGCAAGGTTGCAATGAGTTGCATCATATCCATATGAGCATATGGAGTCATCGGCGTCTGATTCTCGGATGACGAAGATGGAAGTGGAGGCCCTCCATTTCCATCAGGTGTCCGAAACGATCCCATGTCTTCAAACTGGGTGGTGATGTTTCTCGTTGGTGAGAAGATGTCATCCCCTTCATGTTCCCCGCTTGGGCTCATAACCTTTTCTCTGTTTACGACGCGTCCGCACTCTAGCTTTGTGCGCGCCGGAGTTCTTGAACTCAGCAGCCAACTCTTCGCTGCTGGATGTAGTAGTACTTGCGTACTGTGAGGATAATTGTGAACTGAGAAATATATTGACGTATTAACCACTACCACTGACATGCATTGTTTCCTCTCTAATGATCTTGCGTCTTCCCATGGACCTGGCATCATCATCGGCTACTACAACAATATATGTGGTTAACATTTACCTGGCGTGATCATAAATCACGTAAAGAGTTATGCGACAGCAACGGTCGATCTGCAACACTTTTGACCACAGCTACAAGTTGACAACTTAGCTTATCAGTGTCATCGAAAAGATAGTGCTGATCCAAGCCGTGCGACTAGCAATCAACTGTGGCTAGAAAAGCGACATTGCTCGTGAGCGCGCAAATGGTCAACTATGTTGTTTGTTCGCTGATTGTTTTCTGTAAAGCGGTGTTTACACGATGGCTGTCGCAACGGTCGATTTTTAACGTGGTTATTTATCGAGTTTTACGGAATAGTGCATCCTGAAGACGTACTTGGCAAGTACCCACCCATTGGACTATATCAGAAACGTGATGTAAAGCCACGGGCATTTACATAAAATTAGCTCTGGCAGGCAATTAATTGTAGGGCTTTGTGTCCATTGACCACATCACTGCAAAGTGGATCATTCATTGAAAGGTTCAAAGTTGGGAACGTTATTTACAGCGACAACATGAAACGACCTGGCTATAAACATCCTGTTTGACGGCATGTGACGGTGACCCAATGGATCAAAAAACAAACCACAGATACTCGACAAGCAGGACTATGAAAGGCACTGAACTCTCCATATCGGTTGCAAGTCGTCTTTTTGCGGAAGCATACACGCTCGGCTGACCGTTTGGGCTGAATTTTAAGCGCAAACAAACTTTGACCTGCCTTGAAAGCAGGTCAAAGTGCTATACCAGTGGCATAGAAACGCACGTGCACCATGTTGAGCATTGACGACGATACAAATCGTACATTTATACCATTAGTATGGTGGCTTGCGGTACTACGGCACCAACAGAGCGCTCCGTGCCGTTCGACGAAGCCGTCTCTCGTGAACAACGTTCGCTAAATATCAAATTTCTCAGTCGGTGGAGCGCCGCTGGACTGACCGCTCGAGCAGCGGCTGCGTAGAGGCGCTTTCGCCAGGCCCTCCATGAGCTCGCGCAACTCTCTGCTCTCATCGCGAGCACTCTCTCGACGGTTGGTACTTGACGCTGGAGGAAGCGCAATTGCAGCTGCTGGACGTGGCCCTTGTCTTTGCTCTTCGTGGGAAGCAAAAACGAGTGAGTCTTTGCCATGTGCTCCGTGCTCGTCATCGATGTCTTGATCCCTGGCCATCGCCGTTACAGGTTCCGCTTCAGTGCCGTCGGGAGGTCCATCGTCAAGACGGTGTTGATGCACCGTTTGGAAACCGTCGTCAGGATCAAATGCGCAAAATGCCGTGCTTTGCATCGGCATTGGCGCAGTCGGTGGCATTGCAGCTTGTCGAGTCAAGTGACATGGATGAAGCGCTGGTAGTGTCGCTGGCGGTGGCGGTGGTGGTGGTCTTCTTGGTGTTCCAGGGTACGTCTGGCGAGACGGAGTCAACGTCGAAGGCGTGTAGGTAGTCGATACTTCCACTGGAGAAGGAGAAAGCGTCACGCTCGCGATCCTTGATCGTCGGCGCGATGGCGCGTGCGAGAGCTCACTCGAGTTCATGACACCACGCAAACTTGCTACGAGGTCCGATGGATCATGGTCAGACAGCAGCGATCCATGCGCACTAGATCCTCGCGAAACGACAGACGAAGAAGACAAAGCTGCGCCAGTCACATGCGCCATCTGCTTGGTTGACGACGCGCGTGGCACACGCCCTCGACTCGATTTTGAGGTTGACGATCGAGCAGATCGATGCCGCATCGAGCGCTCGTCAGCTCCCACCTCTTCGTTACTAGTGTGTCCACGTCGTTCATCTACGACAACGGGTTCGCCTAGAAGAGCTGGCGTGGCCAGAGCTCTTGCTCCAGTGGATGTCGGACCAGTGTTGATTGCATCGTGTTCACGCTGCTGCGTGGCTTCGATTCGCTCATTAAGACGCCCGATCTTTTGGGCAAGCCGCTCGATACCACGATTGCTGACTGCACTACCAACTGAAGTCGGTAATGCCGCTGATCTGGACGACAGCTCCGGCTCAGCCTGAATCCCGACTTCGTTTGCGGGTGCTATACGAGGCATTCGTAAATTCGCACTTGGCTCCGATTGACGGACCCATTGCATCGCTTCCTCAAGTGCACGTGCTTCTTCGATGGCACTTTCCTGCTCGGGCGTTGGTGACGGTAGCGGTTCACCAGCATCCTGGTGGTCCAGTGATTGCACGGATGCTGACAACGACGAGCACGACGAGCGGGAACGGACACTTTCAATGGTGTCTGGGTGCTCGCTGCCTGTCGGTTCGCTGAAGCTGAAAACCAAGTCGCTATCACATTGATTCGAATCCGCGTCTGATGGACGGATGGGGTCATTGAGGCCGATGGAGCTTAGCACAGCATCTAGGTCCGAGCCCGAGGCGTCTAGCGTCTCGCGGATTTTCATGATGCGATCGTAGATCTCATCGTACTGCTCATCGTCGACATCTGATCTGCCATAGCTGCGCTCAAGCCATTCACTGGGCCGTTCGTTGTCGCCTTCTGCCTCAGAAATTGCCATGTCAATCGTGTCGCGAATGTGGCGGGCATGTTCGACGAGCTTGCTGAGTGCCTCTTTCTTAGCTCTCGCCGACAGAGGTGCTGACAGCAGTGTTGACCGACGCCGCCCGCTGGACTGCCGCATTGAGCCCATGTATTCGGACGCCGCTCGCGCGTAGTATTCACTGTGACTGCCCTCATCATGCTCGTAAGTAGCACTCGCTCGCGTGCTGCTGCGACTTGACAACGGATGTTGTTGCCGTCGTCGAAAGGACGATCGCACTGATGTCGTTTGCGACAATCGTCCGGGATCTCCAAGGCTACACCTCGGTATACCTGGATGCTTTGAGTAGCGGAGACCTTCCACGTAGCTCTCCGTTCCAACGTTCGTCGTAGCTGAAGCAGTCTCAATCAACCCGTCGTCGATGTCACTAACTCCACCAAGCAAGCTGCTTTCACGGTGACTACCTGCTTGCGCCATACACACGGAACACACGCGCACCGTGTGGGTTTGCTCATCCAGCGGCTGCTCCAGCTCTCGCAACGGCGCGCAGGTCGAGCACACGACCTCTCCACAGGTCACGCAATGCTGTTTTCGATGAAAGTAGAATCGCTGCAGACACACTGCGCACGCTTTACGGTCTTTCGACGAAATCCATTCCCACTCGTCCAAGTACTGCAATCGACCGATCCGCTGTCGTTCCAACAGCCCTTTCACTCGATGCACGGCCGCTACGAAATCCACCATGATCTCCGTCGTGGTCCCAGATGCAGCAGCAGTAGCAGTAGCTCCTGTCGCACTCCTGTCAATCTGTGCAATAGCCGTGACCTTGAGAATGTTCGACTGATGCGTTCTTGTGATCAAAAGCCCAGAGCGAGCAACCTGCTTTCGCTCGACATTG